GAACGTGCTCAATAATACCTATGACTGCAGTTCAATTACTCACTATCTACACACACATTACCGCGTCACGTTGTCCCCTCTTATATATACCAGCCTACCCTATCTAGCAAACACTAGAGCATTCATGAAGAAACAAGATAGTTCTAGAAATGTGGCATCACAGTGGTCATGTGACTCGCTGACGCAACAATATAGAAATGTAGGTTTTCAAAGCAATCGAATAAAATTAGAGAAACTTAACCTTTTTAATGAAGATTTATTATTGATAAAGTTGAGGAAGATCTACTAGAACAACATTAAATGTGTCATGATATTAATTTTTTGTTTTATTTGGCTAGGCCTAGTGCGTTCTTCGTAGTTAGCGTGCCTGACTGTAGATCTGAGGTTCTATGGTTACACCCTGTTACCTCCCCCCCCCCCCCCAAAGCATACTTCATACACTGGGGCCATGAGTGCATTATAAGAGTGACAGCCAAATCCCACTATTTGATTAGGGTAGCCCACAAGTTGGTGGTGGGTTGTGTTAACTAGTTACCTTCCACCTAGTCTTATTACTTTAAAATTAGAGATGGTAGCACAGATAGTCCTCGAGTAACCTTGCACAAAATTCAATCAAACCGAACTAAATTGGGCGAGTATTCAAAAAAAAAACTTTTTTTTTGCATATAAAAAATGAAAACATTATATAGGCTACTGGTATGATGTTTCTTTTGATTATTTACCACCTTTTAGATGTTGTTACCTTCCCATTACCAGTTTATATAATCACCATTTTCACAAATGGTGAAATCATTATAAATTAAAAGGGTGTGTTTGTAGTTACAATTGTTTTTTAAATGACCCATTTGTAATGTTGTTTTAAGTTTAATTGCATCCTTGAGTTACTAAGATTAATCATGCGAATAACTTTGTAATTATACTGAGTGTTTTATATGTCACTGAGAAAACATTTTGGGACATTACTAACCTGGAATGAAGTTTAGAAATTTCTGTTTCCATCAAGCAAGGAAAATTTGACTGTTTACTTTTACAAACCTCTTGTATACATACCATAACGTAATTATTTTGTGTCTGAATTGTATTTAGTGTTGAATTAAAGAATACTTAGTTTTCATGTTGATGTATAATTTGATGTTCAGCATATTTGTTCGTATCTGTAATTTTTTAAAGTAAATTTAATTTGATATTTTCATGAAATTTCATGTGTTCATTGACTCAAAAAATGCTTTGATCGTTTACAATATATTTAGGCACACTTGGTTTTGTGACAAACTTTATTAGTTTATGAAATATCACTTCTTTTAAACAGTCTTTCTTAGACACGTTTCCCAGGTAGTGTATCAATAAAATCTTTATTTACATTTCTGCTAGTATACAAAGTACAAAAGCAAAACAATTGAAAAAATAATTATATGATTTATATTCTGAAGCTGGCTTGTTTGGTTTTTCACTGTTTTGAGTTAAAGATTAAGTTTAAACAATATAGTTTTAAATTATTATGCTACACTTAGGTAATTGCAGTAAATGAAACATTTTAAAATTACTTAAAATATGTTTAAAGTTAAAAACTACAATAGGATGTTCTATTGCTAGCACACACTTATAAAAACATGTTGAGAAGGATAAAAATGTAACCAACCTTTTATTGAATAACACTTTTCAACATATATTAACAATGAATCAAACATTGTTTTATACAATTATGGACTTTGGAATAATAATTACAAGTCACACAGAGGGCATTTTTAACCTATGAACATTTCAATTACGACAACAAATAGACATTTGTCTATAAAATGAATTAAAATATGGAATTACTCGTTTTCAAAACTAATATTTCTTAACATAGGAACTTAATTTTTCTTTATTAAAATAACTGGGCAAAATCAACCCATTTTCAATGAGGAAATTGGATATTTTACACTACTTTTCTAATTACTTGACGAATTGTGTTTTTATAATTTTTAGATTATAAAGATGCTTTACAACATCAATAATTTATACTTTTTTCCTTGGTGCATAAAAAAAAACATGTTTTCTTTCCATTTTATGAATCTTGCTCCATTCCTTGCCCCTCTTTTGAGTCTCCATAAAATGGCATTACTCTTATTTGGTCTTATTTATCAAGTCCTTTTGGAAATATTGTGCCAAGCCATTCTACTTTCTAGTTTGCTTTATACTAGTCTGTTATTATCCAACAGGCTTGAAAGTATGGAATGTTTGTGGTTGCCTTACTTGGGAATTATATTTTACTTTGCTTTAGAGAAATATAATATGGTGTATTTTTGTTTTAAAGTTTTGGTTTAGGTCTTCTTCTTTGTTTTTAGAATGGAGGTTTCTAAAGTTTGGTAATTGAAATCACTGATTGTTTGATGATTACCTAGAAGAGTATAAAACAAACTTTAACATTGAAATACCTTTCTTTCAACATGTAAACTTACAACTATATTGTACATCTAATAATTAACCAACTATCTGTCCTGAGTGAATTTGAATTTAGAATCCTGGACTGTTATATTTAATGCTGACAAATTAATAAAATTGATTATTATGAGCATACATTATATTGATTAATGCCATGTAAAATAATTAAATAATTGAAATTACAATTAAGTTGATAAATGTTGCTAAAATAATCAACTAATTGAAATTATTGTTTCTAGTTAGTGCTGTTTTCAATTATTCCAAAATCCAAGTCATCAAAATATTGCAGTTATGATTTCTCATTATTATTTTTTGATTAACTCAGTGTTGTTCAGCATAATTGATTAGTGAATATTCTCATGTGAGAATAACATATTAATTGAATGTAATCTATTAATGAGTTCAACAGTCAATCAATTATGACATTCCTCTGATCATTCAGCTTTAGTTTATATTGTTTTACTCACAAACTGCAGTTATACTCTGAGGAATCTGACATTGTTTCAAGAAGAAAGTCAAATTTCAAAGCGATCAGTGAATGCGCATTTTGTAAACAAACTCACTCCAACTCAATCATCCAAATGAGGAGGCATTTAACAAAATGCTGTAACTGCAACTGAAAGTGAGTGTAACTCTGTTCCTGCCACAGGTGATCTTGCATGCTATTATAAAGGTAACAAATTGATTCTGCACGAGTTTGAGAAAATGAGGCAGCACTGTGAAGGCATAATGTGACAATTGATCTCATAAACAGCTGTTTCCCTGTTGCTGGGACTTTTTGCCTTCATCCCATCCACTTGACAGCTTATATTTTGGATCCAAAGTACAGAGTTTAAAACTTATAAGATGATGAGCACATTGATGGAAACTATGAACATGATTTTGAAGGCAGTTAAGCCTATTTCCAACAGTAGTGATTTGGCTTAATACTGATTATGGAAAGGAATTCTCTGGAAATCAACTAGCATTATTGAACCCTTAACATGGGGGAAAGCACTTTATGGGAGGATCAGCAGTTATGTACAATTGTTATGCTAAGCTTTTCAACCATTGCAGTTGTTTGTGAATGCAACTGGAAGGCATTCGGTAAAATAAAAATAAAACCACCTTACATTGGACTGAAACACTTGTAATCTGTACCACCTCTTAAGAAGAAGTACAGATTACAAGTGTTTTCATGTTGCCGTTCATGTTCACCTCTTAAGAGGAAGACATGAACGGCAACATGAAAACACTTGAATACTGACTGTTTTTACATATTTTAATGTAAGATGACACCTGTACTTATAGTCACAGTTTTTATTAGGTGTATATGTAACAGATAATTCAGTTTTTTGATTTTGTCAGGAAGGCAACTTTTTAAGCTGAGTATTTGTTTTTGTGTCAAAGGTGTTTTTCTCATATTCATGATTTTAGTGATTCTTGGCAGAGCGGATAAAAGATATTTAAGACAAATTTATTTTAAAAGTTTTAGTTGAAAACTTTTTTACATTGTTGTTTATTTATAGTTAATCATCATAGGCAAGTTGTTTATTATTACCTGAGAGAAACAGCATATCATCTTACAAGGTTTGCTAATTTTCAAGTAACAGCTTGTGTAGAAAGTTTACAAATTCTCCCGTTACAGTTTATTACAGGAGGTTTATTAATTCTCATTGTTACAGCATATGGAAAAGTTTTCCTAGTCAGAAAAGTAGGAGGTCAAGATCACAAAAAGCTATATGCTATGAAAGTGTTGAAGAAGGCAGCCATAGTACAGAAACAAAAGACGCTTGAACACACCAAAACAGAACGACAGGTGTTGGAGTCCATTCGTCAATCTCCATTTCTTGTCACGCTACACTATGCCTTCCAAACAGATGCAAAACTTCACCTTATACTTGGTATGTTAACTAAGTATCCATGATTTTTATAATTATTTGTTGACATTCAGTTTGAGTCGGTGCTCTTCTGATAATGTAAACTAAAAAGAAAGATGTATTTGATCTGAATCCAAATTTAAGGTTTTTTTTGTTTGTCAGTTTTTGGTTGTAAAGTACATTAATTTGTCATTATTCTCACACATGTTGTCTTGCTTATGGATTTATCTCAAGCCCAGGGATTGCTAAATGTCAGGAATTTAGTTCATGTTTTTTTCTCCTCATTTCATACTGCATGGACTTAATTCTAGACTCTACTGACCCACAATTTTATTGTGACCTACATTAGAAACCATGGCTCATTGCAATTTACTAGTTATGTTGAATATTTAGGCTTAGATGGGTAGTGTTGTAATCATTACTGGTATTATCATTACAACTGCAGCATTTCTAAACAAATAAAGATGAAACCAGGCTTGTAGTTGAATAGAGCCATTGCACCAAATGTTGAATTATTTCAATAACTTTTATTTTGAAATCTTTAGTAGACTTCTAATAATAATGTCGTCTATATCTTGCATCAGTTTGGAATAATAGTAAAATTAAGTAATAAAAAAATAATATTTTACAGAAGTTTTCATTTTGATAATGCACTTCTCCCACATTTTATTTTATCCGCATGATTGTTTTGGATTTGTTGCTTGTCTGCATCATATTGAGTTTACTATAATGAAAACTTTTGTGAAGCTTATAGTAAAAAATCTGTCCCAAAAGTGGGAAAAGATTATTTAAATTTTTTGGTATTTTAAACCAAAACTTAATGTTTATACATAATTTCTTAATGTGGTACAATATTTATTTTTGAAACAATTTATTAACATACGAGTAAATAAAAGTTGATTTTTCTAGTAATGTATTTTATAGAGCAATTGTAAAGAACATAGTCTCTGAAAATCAAGAAAATATTTTTTACATGATGTATTTGAAAGTTATGCATATTCTGTGAAAAATATATTAAGCTAACATAGTCATCACTAGCTTATAATGTACATTTAAAATATACTTTGAAACATGAATAACATTTAATGATAATTTTAATTAAGTGTCGAGGATATCGTGTATTTTGTGTAACATTCACAGCAGTGTTTTTGTCATTTTGATTATTTAATGTGCTATGATGTTGCCTACAATTTTGTATTTACTGTTAGCTTTTTCTATATACTATTATCATAAGAATGATGATTTTGTAATTATGAGGAAAAACCATTACTTTATCACAGAAACACCAGCAGAATGTTTTTTTTTTTGAATAGGGAGAAAAATATACCCTTGTTTTAGTAATTTGAAGTCACTCAGTAAAGTGGCTCTTTTACAGGTTTGGGAACTTCCTAGACACATCCCTGTGGGACAGTGGTAACTTTACAGGGTTACTGTGCCAAAGTCTGGGGTTCAATTGTCCCCAATGGCCACAGCAGATAGCCAAATGTGACTTTGCTCCAAAATAAACAGTCAGCGTAAACAGATTCATATTTTCCAAAAAGTGAATAACTATAAAAAAAAATTCATCTAAAGCAATGTTTGAACCTTAGAAAGTTGTTTAATTGACTGTAATTAATCCGTTATTTGTGTGACTTCCAGATTATGTGAGCGGGGGTGACTTGTTCACACATTTGTATCAGAGGCAGCATTTTACAGAAGCTGAAGTAAGATTTTACATTGGAGAGATTATTTTAGCTTTGGAGCATCTTCATCAGGTAAGTAATATTAGGAGTTGTGCATCTTATTTCTGTAGATATTAACGGTAATTTGAACAAGAAAAAAAACTGTTGTTCCGTATTTAAGGTAATATGTACTGTGATACTTGTGAGAAATTGTCTATAGAAGCTTTCTACTGGGATATATATACTGTTTTGTAAGTATATATTGTTTCTAACAACAACAAACACAAATAACATATTGTCTAACATTGTTTCTAACAACAACAAACACAAATAACATATTGTCTAACTTTGTTCCTAACAACAACAAACACAAATAACATATTGTCTAACATTGTTTCTAACAACAACAAACACAAATAACATATTGTCTAACTTTGTTCCTAACAACAACAAACACAAATAACATATTGTCTAACTTTGTTCCTAACAACAACAAACACAAATAACATATTGTCTAACTTTGTTCCTAAAACAACAAACACAAATAACATATTGTCTAACTTTGTTCCTAACAACAACAAACACAAATAACATATTGTCTAACTTTGTTCCTAACAACAACAAACACAAATAACATATTGTCTAACATTGTTTCTAACAACAACAAACACAAATAACATATTGTCTAACTTTGTTCCTAACAACAACAACAAACAATTTTGCTTTTATTTTTTTTACCAAAGGTTTCTTGTGGATTGTGGCTATTATTTGAATTGTACACTTACTATATGTTATTTGTTTTTAAGATTTTTTTAAATTTAAGGCATTATATAACTGGAAGTTTTTAACATTTGATTTTAACCTTAATAATAAATCATATGTAAATTCTCTCTTGTCTAAAATTGAATTGGTCAGTTCTATCAAAAAACAATAATCCAGAAAAAAATGTAAAGAAAAAATAAACTGTGTTTAAAGACCAATGAAGCATTAACATTCAGAATTATTTTAAATTATACATAAAACCAATATTGCTAAATTCTTAATAATCCTGAATACATTATATTGTTTAATATGTTTTTAACTTTGTGGTAGATATGCTAACTAAAGATAGTACAGTAAAGAAAAAAACATTGATTTATTTGTTTTGATGACTACTTAAAAGTTGTAACAGACTTCTTTCTATCTTTCAAGCTTGGCATCATATATAGGGACATTAAACTGGAAAATATTCTTCTAGACGCTCAAGGACATGTTGTGTTGACTGATTTTGGTCTTAGTAAAGAATTTTTGCCTCATGAAACAGTAAGTGAATCACAACAGCTGGTGTACACTCATTTTAAGAGATACACATTTGTGGCATAAATTGTTGGAATATTTTGAAAGGACAAGCATGTTAGTTTTGGAATACATATTCATGCATGATTTCAACTGTAGGATAATTTGAAATTATGTAGACTTGCTTCTGAAATTTGATGATGAGGATCCCACTTTTCAGAAAATATAAGTTTGGAGATGGCTCGATTGGGTAATAAATAAAACTGTGAAATATTGAAAGCTTTTACTTGTTGAGCTTGAACTCATGCTGTCCTGACCAAAACTGTCTGTATGTCCTTTGTGCATTGTAGAGCATGTGTCACTTACCCATAATTCTTCACTCTCCCACCTTCCGTGTGGCTTATTGTACAAGCTTCAGGAGATCTTACATAAGCCTTGCTTTCCTGTCATATTTTAGATATGTTTGTTGAAAGTCAAGTTGTTAATTTTGCTGCATCCGTTCTTTCTGATGCAACTATTTCTGCCATTATTGAAGACCTTACTTACATAATTTGCCCGTAGTGTACAGGGTAAAATTGTCAATTTTTTCCAGCTCTGATGGTTCCACATATTCCTTCCATTGTATACTTATGTTTCCTAGCTGGCTTAAAGGAATATATGGATGCTTACTTTACTTGACACTTGCCATTTTCTTTTGTTTTTGATGAAGGTCAGTTACTGTTCATGCCTAATTGCCTGAAGCACTGGATTTGTTTGCTACAGTGCTAGCCCTAAACCTAACAAAATTTCTGCTACAATGTTAGCTCTAAACTTAACGACATTTCAGCTGGTCCTATTTCTTTTTCTCTTTTGATACTTTTGCCAATCGGGCTGTGTAGCAAGGTGCTCATCTTTACAGTGTTGGTATTCTGGCCTTTAGTATTTCAGAGGTAAGTCTACTTGACTGAATTTTACATTTACAGGTACATGTCTATAAAAGATCTTTTTTTTTTTCCCCCATGCCTCAAAACTGAATTTTCATCGAGGCTGCAACTTTCAATAAATTAGAAATTATGGTGGGAAGCAAAGCTTATTTAAGATCCCTTGATGCTTATGTAATAAGTCTCATGGAAAGTGAGATAGTGGAGAATTATGGGTAGGTGATGCATACTCTGCAAGAAACTTTAGGTACTTGGGAAGTACAATCGAAACTGAAGAAGGTATTGAAAAAGCTGTGAATCCTGGTGAGTTGGAAGAAATGGAATGAAATAACCACAGTCACCTCTTACAAAAGTTTACCAAGGGCATTGAAAGCCAAAGTGTATAAGACTGATTAGAATGTTGCTTCTCATCAGAACCAAGATCTGATCCCGAAGAAGAAAGAAGGCTTGTTGATAACAGCAAAAATTAGAAATTTGAGATGGCTGTTGGGAGTGTTGCTGAAAGAGAAGAGAATGAATAAGGAATTTAAGGAAATGACAGGAGTCCATGGAATTGAGAAAGAGGCAACAGAAGTGAGGCTGAGCTGGTTCGGTCACGTGAAGAGGAGAGGAGAAGAACAAGCAATAAGAGACCATTAGAGATCCCAGTGGCCAGCAAAAGAAGACAAGGAAGGCCAGTAAAGTATTAGATGGATGGAATTAAAGAAGACATGAACGAGAAAGGAATTGTAGAAGACCTGGCGATGATTGGAGGAGGGCAACACGTGTGAAGGACGGCGACATCTGCTAAAGAAAAAGTCGAAGGAGATGCATACTCTGCAATGCACTAAGAACATTCGGAATTTTTTTTTGTCTCGTGCTTTATTGACAGCATGAGTTCAAACTCAACAAGGAAAAGTTGCCAGTAAAGATTAATTAAGAGTATATATGTATATATAATAAACTATTCGTAATTAAGATATCCTGAAAACAATATTTCCATTCAGTTTGTTTCGGAACTTATTTGTGCCTAGAGTATTGTTATTAGGAGCAGACAAAATGTGAGTTAGATAAAACTTAACAGTGTAAGTTCTAAGAGAGCCTATTCAAGTTGACAGATTTGAACTTGAATTTTTTTTTTTCATAATTCTGACTCACAAAATTTTGCTAATGCAGTGGAATTCTTTATAGCTAGGGGGTAAAAACAGGCTAAATTTGTCATGAAAAAGTTAGGCCAAAAATCTAACGAAGATTTAGCTTTGATGTTTTCTCTATTTCATGTCTTTTTGGTATTTTGTCTTCTCCCAAAACCCACAGGAGTACATGCACATAAATATAACATAATATTTACAAGTATCTATTCATTTTTCCTCTCGAGTGCCCCTTGCAACCCCCAGCTTAAATTTTTGGCAAGTTTCCAATACGCGGTAACTTGATTCGTTTGCCCTCGATAACCAATGCCCAAATTGATTTTCTGTATTACCCTCTGATAGCTTATAAGGTAATGACACACAATGTTAGACTATAAACAGATTACATTTATTCTACCTATATATAGGATTAGACTAATGTATCATGTTTTGTAAATGTTGATGTTTTGCTATATGATTTATTCTGAACTTCTGTCTAGATTCACAGAACATACTCGTATTGTGGTACAATAGAATATATGGCCCCAGAAGTGGTGAAAGGTGGAAGATGTGGTCATGACTTCGTAAGTAAAACTCCTGCCTCTTTTTTTGTTTAAAACTTTTGTGTCAACTAAGAAAAACATAAAGCATCATTGGGTTCATATGAATTCCACTGGCTTTTTAAACTTATTTTTCTGGAATATTTGTGCACCAAGTTGTTTGTGGGTACATGAAATTGTTGGTTACAGGATTCCTTATAACATGTGAGCCACATGAAATATATTATAAATAAATAAAATCTAGTAACATTACAGTTAATTTCGTCCAATGGTGAGACAGCAGTAAGTCTGTGGACTTCAACACTAAAATCTGGGGTTTGATTCCATGCAGTGGACACAGTAAATAGTCCAGTGTGGCTTTGCTATTAGACAAACAATTATTTCCACTAATTACTGATGGAACTTCCTATTTATTTGACAATATAAAATGAGAATTTCCCCTAGAGTGATTGGTCAGTTTATTACAACGAGTGTTGTAACAGGCAAAAATGAGAAAATTACTGAATATGACTCAATATGCAGATCTTGCCTGCAGTGAATGGTATATAAACAAATTTGTAATTTGAGGGTTAGTAAAAAATTAGTGCAAAAGTAGAAACTTGTGTGGTGGGGATGCTTCTATTTTTAAACTTTCTATATTTAGTTAAAACTTGTATCCTCTCAGTGTCTTACAGGCACCTAAAAACCAACTGTGCTCAGCTCCAGTTTTCCTCTGGCACAAGCAGATGAGAATGTTTACACACTAACCCTGTAGGGGATGCCAGTCCATTGCTGGTTATTAGCTGATACCTATTTTACAGCTGAGTAGACCGAAAAAAATCTTGAGTACAGTGTCATGCTCAGTGGCATAATGACTGCATTCAGGACAGCTTTGAACCCACAGCCTTCTGATTACTCTACAGAAAATAATAACACTAGGCCCTGCCACTTTATTTTTTACTTCACATTTAGAATTTTAAAAATAAGGGCACAAATGGGTCCTCAAGTCTACAATTTCTAGGATCTAAAAAGTGCCATTGTTTGTCTGCAGCCAGTCTGAAATCAAATTGTTAGATCAGAATACTTCTCCGTTTGTTTTGTTTGTATGTCTTTCATGTGTGATGGTTTTTGTTTATTGTTCTTTTTTTATTTGAATAGTCGTATTAGAATATTGTTGCAGTTTGGAGGTGTTTTTGCTACCTGTTAGAATTAACATAACTGTTATGTAATCCTATTGTACATATCATGTTTCTCATTCACTTTGGTAGCTGGAACTATAACTGTTATGTAATCCTAATCCTATGTACGTATCATGTTTCTCATTCACTTTGGTAGCTGGAACTATAACTGTTATGTAATCCTAATCCTATGTACATATCATGTTTCTCATTCACTTTGGTAGCTGGAACTATAACTGTTATGTAATCCTAATCATATGTACATATCATGTTTCTCATTCACTTTGGTAGCTGGAACTAAGCGAGTAGCATATACATTCATTCTATTAATAGTTTTATATCACAATATCAGATTGAGAGGCAACATACAATGTCCAGTATATCTTTTTTACTAGTGGAAGCTTTATTGAAGTGCTCTCAGAAGTTAGTGCTGGAAAATTGTTCTGTGTAGTTCTTTTTTTATTACTGTTAAAAATTGTTTATTTCAAAGATCAGAAAAAACTTAATTTGTGATAAAATGTTAAATATTTATGTTGTTTAGTTTTAACATTGTTAACATTTTTGATAGTAAAGACTAGAAAGAAACTTAGTTGTGTTGAAATGTGAAATTTACATATCAATAGCAAACATAGTATTAACCACAGCTCAATCCATAAGAACAAAGATCTTACCTACCTTCTGAAAATTTTATCGTTATCTGGTTTCTTTTTTAGCAGTCGTAAAGGTTGTCTTATGCAGTATTACTGGTTGTTAATCAAATATTACTCTTTAACCATTTTACATTTTCCCTACAAAGAATATTTTACATTAATGTTTTCATTTTATTTGATAATTATTTTTTGAGTTTACTAAGCCAATAGACATTTACATGATCATTTGTTGAAAAAAAAAATTGCTAGAACATTTACATAAACCTTTGTATTTCATGAAAGGTACGTGATTGTGTTTAATGGGAAATCTGTTTTTAATATGCGCATGTGACCACTTTTATTAGAGTGTAGACTGGTGGAGCGTTGGTGTGTTATTCTACGAACTTCTGACTGGAAATTCACCATTCACGCCTCAGGGAGACAAGAACTCACAGTCAGAAATATCTAAGTATGTAAACTGTTCATTTTCTAATTCAGTTATCAATATAAATAAAACTTTTTTTCTTTTTTAGTTATCCTTGTTATATGATCACAGAAAATCCCAGCCTTTTAATTGTGTAAGGTTTGGCATCACGATCTTGATTGCTGTCATTTTGTACATAGTGTTGTTTGAAAATGAATAATGTTACTAATAGCTGAAGCTTTTTCTTTTTACTCTGACATAAAATTAGCCAGATCTTTCGCACATTAAAAGTACTTAGAGATTTTAACTTAGCCAGATCTTTCTCACATTAAACGTACTTAGAGATTTTAAATTAGCCAGATCTTTCTCACATTAAACGTACTTAGAGATTTTAAATTAGCCAGATCTTTCTCACATTAAAAGTACTTAGAGATTTTAAATTAACCAGATCTTTCTCACATTAAAAGTACTTAGAATTTTAAATTAGCCAGATCTTTCTCACATTAAAAGTACTTAGAGATTTTAACTTAGCCAGATCTTTCTCACATTAAAAGATGTATCAGTTTGTGATGTTTTGAATAAATTTGTGGAATTGCACAAATATACTGTAAATCTGCAAAAAGACGAAACAGAGAAATGTAACTAAAACGTTTATTTTACTAAATATATGTTTTATTTTTTCTTGTTTATAGAATTTGATAAAGTGCAGATAAAGATAAAATTATATTTCATTACTTCATCCGCAGAAGAATACTTCATTCACAACCACCTCAACCCGATCATGCTTCCGCAGCTGCAAAAGATTTTATATATCGTACATTGATAAAAAATCCAAGAAAACGACTTGGAGGGGGACCAGAGGATGCCTTGGAACTCAAAAGGCACAAGTTTTTCAGGGTTAGTTCAAGTTTTTTTATGTAGGGGTTATACCTTTTTTCTAAAGCTATATTAAAGTCTTAAAATGTGTTTAGAGAATAACTTTATTAACTTAATACATATTCTTCAAAAGTTTAAGTCTGACACTGATGTTGCAATGTTTCCGAATGGGATTCTTTTGAACACTATTTATAAATAAACCTAATTCTAGATCAGTACCATGATGAAGATGTACATAGCTTGAAATATTGATATATTAATGTATAATTGTTTTTGTAGTTGAAAATTTTCTTTTTTTTTATAACTTAAGTTTATAGGTTATCAGTTTCGTTTTTTATTGTCTAACTTGTGTGAACAAATTAGTTATCTTTCTGTAGATAAATGTTCAAACTTTCATTATCATAGCCTTTAGTGAGAGAGTCTGTAGCTGGTGAAATGTAACAGAAACCTTGCTTTGAACTCATTATTAAAGGTTTAGTTTTAAAAATGATTAATGTTTTGCCAGAGAATTTGTTTTAACAAATGTTAAAAATGTTTGAGATGTGTGCTAAAGACTAAGTGTTACCCTGAATGTAGATATTTTTTATGAGATATAATTTTTTTTCTGATAATGAATAGAATATTAATTTCTCGGAAAACATTAAGCTTGTTTTTTATAATTAAAAAAGAATCAATTGTTTAAGAATAACTATGATTAAAATAGAACAAACACACACACTGGGTATATAGACCTGCAGGTTGTTTTCACATCATGCTTTTAGGAACAGCTTTTAATATATATCAGTGTAATTATAAACTATTTACATAGGTTTTGAACTGGGACAAGCTTTCCAAGAAACAGATTTCTGCTCCTTTTATTCCCAAGATCTGTGGAGAACTTGATGTGAGTAATTTTGCAGAGGAGTTCACTTCGATGGTTGCTGCTGATTCACCAGCCATAATACCTCCAAATGAAGAAAAAATATTCAAGGTATTTTTGTAGTAGTCTTATGTACAATATTTTCCATTTTAAGTAAAATTTTAAAGTTGCATTAAGCAAGTGTCTTGAAGAAGAAAAAAAAACCTTCTTAGTCCATACAGCTTTATAAAACTACTTTTGGACATACAAAATTGATCGAGCCTAGGAAATTGATTAGTAAGAAAATAAACCTTAATAAGAGCTTTGTTTGGTTAATTTTCTAAAAAAAAAAATGATAATTTTAACATATTAAAAATATTTTTATAATTTCTCTGTAATATAAGAACTAAGGGTTCATGGTCTGTGATCTGTTTGGCAGTTATGTGCTCCACACTTTGGGGCCATGGATGCACTATGAGACTGATGATCACATTCAAACGAGAATAGCCCAAGAGTTGCTGGTGGATATTGTTGACTAGGGGTTTTCTTTCTAGACCATTAGTTCAAAATTAGGGATGACTATATGCCAACAAAGTCTCAGCGAGGGTCTATTGAGGGTAGTCTCTTGGTCACTTGAAAACTTTTAAGTTCCATTTTGTTTTTACTTTCTCCTGGCCCACTGTTGGTAGAAAAGACATTCGATGAAGTAACAAAATGCTTTATTTTTAAAAATTATGAACAATTTAAAATATATATAACCCAAGAGCAGTAAAGTCTGATTGGGTTAAAAATATTATTCAGTAAGGTATTTAATATTTATTTTGAGTTTAATGTCATTTACTGATAGAATTACATACTGAATTACTGATAGAATTACACACTGTATTACTTATAGAATTACATACTGTATTACTGACAGAATAACATACTGTATTACTGAGAGAATTACATACAGTATTACTAAGAGAATTACATATTCTATTACTGAGAGAATTACATACTGTATTACTGAGAGAATTACATACTGTATTACTGAGAGAATTACATACTGTATTACTGACAGAATTACATACTGTATTACTGATTGCATTCATCAAAAATAGAAAGAGGTTTTAATATTTCTAAGTTTATTCACCTTCTAAATAATGTATCTTGTTTAACATATATATAACTTTATCTGCTACTGTACTTTTTTTTCATGTTTTTCCAAATTTAAGATCTGTTTGTCATCCTAATGTTTCATAAATAGTTTTAATTTTCTCTATCACTGAGCATATGCATTTTGTATCATTTACACACTCAAGTCAAGAGTACCTTCTTTTATAAAAGAAACTTATTTTCAATTTAAAGAATATATATATTTTGTTTTCTAAATGTTAGTAGATGATTAAGATTTTTTCTTTTTCTGCACTTTTTAATTATTTTTCTTTTCCTGGATTTACACATTTTGCTCGCAAAATATATCCATTTTGCACTAGAGAAAATTGATTTAGACATTAAAAATCCTGTGTTGTTTGCAGGGTTACTCCTATGTTGCTCCATCTGTGATGTTTACTGAAAATGTGATCAGTGATGATCTACTTTGTACACCAACAGAAAACAAACCTAGTGCCTCCTTGCTCTTAGCTACAAAGTTCAAGGTAAGAATGTGGTCAATAATGACCTATTTTGTACACCAACAGAAAACAAACCTAGTGCCTCCTTGCTCTTAACTGCAAAGTTCAAGGTAAGAATGTAGTCAGTGATGACCTATTTTGTACAACAGAAAACAAACCTAGTGCCTCCTTGCTCTTAACTGTAAAGTTCAAGGTAAGAATGTGGTCAGTGATGACCTATTTTGTACACCAACAGAAAACAAACGTAGTGTCTCCTTGCTCTTAGCTACAAAGTTCAAGGTAAGAATATGATCAGTGATGACCTATTTTGTACACCAACAGAAAACAAACCTAGTGCCTCCTTGCTCTTAGCTACAAAGTTCAAGGTAAGAATGTGGTCAGTGACAGTGATGACCTACTTTGTACACCAACAGAAAACAAACCTAGTGCCTCCTTGCTCTTAACTGTAAAGTTCAAGGTAAGAATGTGGTCAGTGATGACCTACTTTGTACACCAACAGAAAACAAACCTAGTGTTTCCTTGCTCTTAGCTACAAAGTTCAAGGTAAGAATGTGGTCAGTGATGACCTACTTTGTACACCAACAGAAAACAAACGTAGTGCCTCCTTGCTCTTAGCTACAAAGTTCAAGGTAAGAATGTGGTCAGTGATGACCTATTTTGTACACCAACAGAAAACAAACCTAGTGCCTCCTTGCTCTTAACTGCAAAGTTCAAGGTAAGAATGTGGTCAGTAAGAAGAACAAATTTAGTGTCAGCCAGCTGGTAGCTTCAACATTGAAGGTACAAATGTGATCAGACGTCCTTTTCTCCAAAGCAAAAACAATATGAATATATAAAACAAGAAATAATTATTCTATACCATTATAGAATAAAAAAATGGTATATCACTTATCATTATTATTATTTTAAAAACAATGACATACTTACTGCATTAATTAACATTTCTAAGAAGTTACGTTTAAATTAAAATTGGGCCGATTATTATTATTAATGTTATATTCTGTCCTATATGTGCCTCTGCTGTAGAATGAGTTAGAGCCACATATACACAGTATTTACATGAATGTGCGAAAATTTATTAAATATTCGTCAGGCTTCTAATTTTACCAGAACAACGTCATAATTGTTTTTTAGACTAGGCCGTTATTTAGGCTAGAAATATTTTAAAAATTTGATAGTTTCTCAATCATTAAAGACATTACCACTTGTATCTATCATTATAAACTCAATATATTGTACTGTAATATATTTAATTTTTTAAGTTTATAGAGAAGGGGTTCACTATTATTTGTTCACCATTATTTTTCATTACTTTTATTGGATTCTACCAGACAGATGGTAAACCATCAGAAAAAAGAAAAAATTTTCAGTAGCATTTTACAAATGGAGGTTATCAGCCAACTGACAGATCCTTTTTTTCTTCCTATTTTCAACAGAACTCCTCCTTCTTCCAAAAATACGAACTAGTTATTAAGGAAGGCCTTCTTGGAGATGGTAGCTTTTCTGTATGTAGGTGAGTTTTACACTAAATAAAGGGACAATCTGAGAAGCTATGTTTTTAAATAAAGTACTGAGAAATTCTTTGATATGTTTATTTTATTACGATAATGTCATTAAATATGCCTTCATAAAGTTTAATTGGACTTTCTTTAATTGATTACACCCATTTAATAAACAAGTGGAGCCAATGCAACAACAAAAAACCTGAAGCTGAGTAGATTCACTAACAGCTTTTCAACCAACTTTGATCCTGAAGACCTGACTGTTAACCTGAGTAATCTTACACTTAATAATAAATGTAAATGTATCCTAGTTAAAGGTCTTAATTTCTCACTTCCATCACATAAACTGAATTTTGTTAATTTTCTTTACCTTTCGATTTGCTTTACAGAAACCTAAAACGCCTTCCTTTGTAGGATACAGGAACTATTAATCAATCCAGTGATAATTTCTTTACCTGTTAAAGTGTAAATAAACGATCTAGACAGAGAAGTTTTTGCAATATCAACATTAATATGTCTGTTTAAATTTCATTAGTTTGCCTGAGAATATTAAAAGTTGTGTATTACGATAATTCTTTGGCAGAAAATGTATTCACAAACAGACAGGTGTCGAATATGCTGTGAAGATCATTAGTAGGAAGGTAGATAGTGCACGAGAGGTGAGGTTACTCCAATACTGCCAAGGTCATCCAAACATAGTCAAATTTCATGAAGTTCATTACGATGAAGTAAGTGATTCTTAATCATTTGGAAACGTTTTTAGAAGATAATGACATCAAAAGAATTTTCGAAATCTTACCTTATTGTTTTCTAGTTTGTTGTGCTTCTGGCGTGTACTTTTTCATCTGTAGAAAAGAAATGCTTCTATGATAAAAAAAGACATTTTTATCTTTATTTTAGTTAATGGCTCTAGTTGGGAGTTAGTAATTGTTAAGGAAGTTAATGTTATGTGTGTAGTTATTTAAATATTTTGTCTTAAGCATATGTCTTTATTTTAAAAATCTGAAGTATGAAAACAAATTTAAACATTTCGGATATGTCAAATGTATTAATTCAGGTTTGAGTACTTGAGATTAATAGTTTGGTAATTTATTTATGAATTATGAATTTAATTTTGCTCAGATTCTGTCCACATATACAACAACATATATAGTTCAAGTGTAGAAAGTTTTAAATTTGAATTGCAGTTAAAATCTAAAGACTATTCTAATATTCTTTGTTAGCAAAAGTAATGCATTTGTAAGTGACTTAGCATTGCTGCTTAACAGCAGTAGCAAAAGTAATGCATTTGTAAGTGACTTGGCATTGCTGCTTAATAGCAGTTGAACAGTACATATTCTGCATTACAGTGCTGGTGCTTAATAATGAAAAAATGAGACATTAATTAACATAAAAGTGTGCCTAAAGGAAGCTGTCTAGTCAAATCAAACAGGCAACAAAAACATCTGTTCAAATATACTATTCTTGAACTCTTATTTATCAAGATATTTTTGCATTGTTTTAACAGTTGGGTATCTTTGCTGTTAACAGTAATTTTGGCCATAATCTCGATAATATCTCGCAAACTTTGGGCAGCTTAGGTATTTTGGGTTTGTTCTGAATACATATACTAAGTCAATAATGCAAAATAATCTTTATAACAAATGTACAATAATGAATTAAAATTGATAAAAGAGAATGAATTAAACACTCGTACCACAACTGTAAATGAAAGCAACTCAAAAACAAATAATCAAGTAAAGCTTATTTACACATGGATCATATAATCAATTGTTTTAGAAATTTTATGTACCAACCTAACAATGCCAAATATTCTTGAAATTAATAAAAAATACATATATATTAGACTTTCCAATAAAACTGCTAATGAAAGCAACTCTGAAGAAAGAATAGATTAAACCTCAACTGTGGATCTTTTCAACAGTGGGTTTTTGCTTCATATATTTGATCTAGCTGTTTGAAAAGCTGGTATAATATTTTGTCTTATTGTTCTGTAATATGCTTGTAGTGTTTAGAAGCAATTTTATGAAAGAATAGGACATTCTGTATCGTAATTGTGGTTTTTAGAAACAGTAAATAAAGGAATATGAAATATTTAGTATTGAGAAATATTAGATTGAAAGAGTAGGGCAGTTTGTATTATACTTCTCAAGTTTAGAAACAATTGAATGAAAGAATAGGGCAGATCTTGTAGTGTAGTTTGTATTATACTTCTGAGGTTTAGAAACAATGAAATGAAAGAATAGGGCAGATCTTGTAGTGTAGTTTGTATTACATTTCTCAAGTTTAGAAACAATGGAATGAAAGAATAGGGCAGATCTTGTAGTGTAGTTTGTATTATACTTCTGAGGTTTAGAAACAATGGAATGAAAGAATAGGGCAGATCTTGTAGTGTAGTTTGTATTACACTTCTGAGGTTTAGAAACAATGGAATGAAAGAATAGGGCAGATCTTGTAGTGTAGTTTGTATTACACTTCTCAAGTTTAGAAACAATGGAATGAAAGAATAGGGCAGATCTTGTAGTGTAGTTTGTATTACACTTCTCAAGTTTAGAAACAATGGAATGAAAGAATAGGGCAGATCTTGTAGTGTAGTTTGTATTATACTTCTGAGGTTTAGAAACAATGGAATGAAAGAATAGGGCAGATCTTGTAGTGTATTTCTGGCATGAATGTTTAAAATTACATCAAACCTTTATTCCATAAAATAATGTCCAAAAACAAACAATAATTCCATACTTGTTTGAGATCTTGTAAAATTGAATTTTATATTGTTTTTATGTGATGTGGTCTCTCAGCTGTTTTCTGCGACTTAATTTTTCCATTTAAACATATTTCAGTTAAATCTTGCATATTTTGTTGTAATTTAGTAATGTCAAACTGTAAGCTTTCTATTTTTAAACGATACCTACAAGCTTTATATCCATTTTTTTTAAAAGATTAACAAATGAAAAGTTGAAGAAACAGTTTTATTTTGGAGGTACTTTTAAATGCATATGCTGACAATGAATATTCCATACACTGCATCTTCTTGGAGTTTAAAAATGGACAACATTTTAGTCTTTGTTGAAACCTTCATCAGATGGATGTTGACCTTAGTATAAGGAATGAAATGACCAGATGTTAATAGGAGATGGTCTCAGTACAAAGACTGAAACGTTGTCCACTTCAAACTTGAAAATGCATGCAAAGAAGATACAGTGCCATTACAAGTATTCTAAAAATGGTATGTATTAGGTGTTGTGTTTTTCTTATATTGATACTTTGTTTTCAGGTTCATACTTACATAGTACTTGAGTTACTGAAAGGAGGCGAGTTGCTGGAAAGAATTCGTCAGAAGGCTAGGTTCACTGAGAAAGAAGCAGGTCACATTTTCCAAAAGCTAGTCTCTGCAGTTGGTTTTATGCATTCTCGAGGTGTGGTTCACAGGGATCTGAAACCAGAGGTAATCCATGGTGTCTTTTAACACATTTTTTAGTGAGTGTTCATGGTGAACTACTTCTTCTCTTGGTACACATCTTAAAAAGTTTGTATCTGTGTGAATGAAAACACTTGATGAGACATTGATATATTAGAGCTCGGGTTGTTTCAGTACAGTTTTTAAACATACGTTAACCTGGTTGCTTTAGACCAGGTAAGAGAATCTTAAGCATATGCTAACTTATTACCTACCTTTCTATTTTTTAATCTGATTTTTGTAAACTGTCTAGTTTCTTTCAGGATTTTTTATGTCATTTTTATCTTTATTTTTTACATTATACAATAAGAACACTTGAGTGCATAGCTTTTCCAGTGTTTAAATGTTCTTCATTCTAAAATATATCTGCTTTCATCATGTATTTGCCATCATGCAAATTTAAATCAAAAGAAGTCTAATATAAGCAACTATAACAGATATTTGATAAATATAAATTCAGTCGTCAGTTATCCATAGAATTGACCCACAGCTTAGCTATGTTAGACATAATGACAAAGGTTAAGATAGAATGACCACAATTTGAGTTCCTTGATCTGCATCTCCTTATTTTAAGTCCTTTATTCTTATTTTTTATTACAATAAAATTTCTGTAATTACCAATCTGTAACTTGAAAATGGACCGTTAAAGTTTATAAATAGTTATCTAAGAGATGAAATAACAGCAAATGGGTTGGATGAAAAAAAGTTTCCAAAAGAAAATATAATCTAAAAATAGATTATGATAATAATGCTTACTCACTATTGTTTAAAATACTGAACATTCTCACTATAATGTGTGTGTTTTGTCTGCTCACTGTCTCCTACTGAACAACAACATTCTTACTATAATGTGTGTGTTTTGTCTGCTCACTGTCTCCTACAGAACAACAACATTCTTACTATAATGTGTGTGTTTTGTCTGCTCACTGTCTCCTACAGAACAACAACATTCTTACTATAATGTGTGTGTTTTGTCTGCTTACTGTCTCCTACAGAACAACAACATTCTTACTATAATGTTTGTTTTGTTTGCTCACTGTCTCCTACAGAACAAAAACATTCTTACTATAATGTTTGTTTTGTTTGCTCACTGTCTCCTACAGAACAACAATATTCTTACTATAATGTGTGTGTTTTGTCTGCTCACTGTCTCCTACAGAACAACAATATTCTTACTATAATGTGTGTGTTTGTTTGCTCACTGTCTCCTACAGAACAACAATATTCTTACTATAATGTGTGTGTTTTGTCTGCTCACTGTCTCCTACAGAACAACAACATTCTCACTATAATGTTTGTTTTGTCTGCTCACTGTCTCCTACAGAACAAAAACATTCTTACTATAATGTGTGTGTTTTGTTTGCTCACTGTCTCCTACAGAACAACAACATTCTTACTATAATGTGTGTGTTTTGTTTGCTCACTGTCTCCTAAAGAACAACAACATTCTTACTATAATGTGTGTGTTTTGTTTGCTCACTGTCTCCTACTGAACAACAACATTCTTACTATGTTTGTTTTGTTTGCTCACTGTCTCCTACAGAACAACAACATTCTTACTATAATGTGTGTGTTTTGTTTGCTCACTGTCTCCTACAGAACAACAACATTCTTACTATGTTTGTTTTGTTTGCTCACTGTCTCCTACAGAACAACAACATTCTTACTATAATGTGTGTGTT